GCAGGGCCTCGTACTCTGCCTCGTTATTCGAGGCTTGAAATTTGAACCGTAGTGCATATTCATAAGTATCCTCTTCTGGAGATTTGAAGATTATGCTTACACCACACCCGTTCAATGTGGAGCTCCCGTCTGCATACACCCTCCAAACCTGATCTAGGTTGCCCAGCTGAGCCGGCCTTGTTACTTCCACATTGAGCATTCTCCCCCCATTCAAATCTAGTCTTCTTCTTGATTTCTTGGAAGAAGTAAAGGCATTTGTCATCTGATCGGGTGAGGAACCTACCCAAGGTGGCCAGGCAACCGGTAAGCTTTTGGACCTTTTTGACAGTACGGGGAGACTTTATGTCAATTACCTCCTGTACTTCATCTGGATTAGCCTCTATTCCTCGTTGATCAATCAAGAAGCCAAGAAACTTCCCAGAATCAACACCAAAGACGCATTTTTTGGGGTTTAACATGACTTTATGCCGTCTGAGTATTGAGAAGGTCTCTCGGAGGTCAGCAAGGTGATCCGCCTGCTGCTTTGATTTGACTATCATGTCATCAATGTACGCCTCTACGTTTCTCCCAATCTGATTAATGAAGACCGTATTAATCATCCGTTGGAAGGTAACAGACGCATTTTTCAGCCCAAATGACATCACCGTATAGCAGAACAACCCTTGATTAGTGATGAAAGCCGTCTTTTCTTGATCTTTTTTCCACAAGGGTATCTGATGGAAGCCGGAGTAGGCATCCATGAAGCTCATCAGGGCATGGCCGGCTGTTGAGTCGACGAGACTGTCGATCTTTGGAAGCGGATAGCTATCCTTCGGACATGCCTTGTTCAGATCTATGTAATCAACACACATCCGCTAGGTACCATTCGGCTTCTTGACAAGAACAACGTTTGCTACCCAATCCGGGTAGTAGCATTGCCGAATGAACCGGGCATCTAGAAGCTTCTTGACCTTGGCGGCTGCCGCCTGAGATCATTCCTCACCGTGGTTCCTCTTTTTTTGCCTAACCGGCTTTTTCTTAGGATCCACGGTGAGTTTGTGAACAGCAAGATCCGGATGTATACCCGGCATCTCGTCCACTTCAAAGGCAAAGATGTCTTTGAACTCTTTCAGAAGTTGGTGCAGCTCTACACCTAACTCCTTGAAGACAACCGTCCCCACTTTGACGGTTCTCTCTGGACGGCTGTCATCCAAGATTAAATCTGTACTTTCACCAGCCGGTTGGGGACAGGAATCCTCTAATCGCTCCACAATCAGTGATTGCTATTTTTTGCCTTTTCTGGCGGCCATCGGGTGGTCCGCCTTTCTTTTCTTGCCGGTTGTCGTAGGAGCAGGCACGGCTTCCATGCTCTCTTCAATGAGGGTGGGTTCCTCGTTGTTGCCGGCTGGGGCTACAGTCGGCTTGACGGCTGAGAGGTAGCACTCCCTAGCCGTTTTCTGATCCCCACTCAGGGAACCCACCATCCCATCATCCCTCTCGATTTTTATCAGCATGAGAGAGGGGATAATGACTGCTTTGGACTCGTTGAGGGTAGGACGGCAAGATTAGGTTATAGGCGGTCAATTCCTCGACAACCAGAAACTTGACAACCATATGCCGTCCTTCCCTCTTCTCGCCCAGCCGAATGGGTAGGTCAATCCTCCCAACCGGATGGATAACTCTTCCCCCAAAGCCAACCAAAGGGTGAGGAGCCGTCTGCATGCTACTTGGCTTGTACTTCAGCTTAGCCAAGCATTGGTAGCTTATGAGGTCAGACGAGCTCCCGGTATCTATAAGGATCCGGCCCACTCGCTGATTAGCGACTTTGCACTCTACGACTATGGGGTCGTCATGAGGCCGCCTGACCTTGCCTCGGTCCCTCTCAGAAATGAGGACCTCGGGGAAGGTGTCTCTCGACGCCTGGCCCTCATCCACTGATTTGACCAGACGCCGGATGTTATCCTTTGCTCCCCGGATGGTTGGACCCCCTTCGGCGAAGCCGCCTGCTATGGTGAAGATGTGCTCTTCATCAGTATCAGAGCTGACAACCGGCTTCTTGGACGGTTGTCCTTTATTCTGCTTGGCGACGCCCTTGGGCTTTACCAAGTAAGACCTTAGGGCCCCCTCATCAGCCAGACGGTCCAGCAACCGCCTGAGACCAAAGCAGTCACTGGTGCCGTGGCCGATGTCCTCATGGTATTTGCAATATTTGTTCTTGTCCCGACTGTGGACGGGACTTTTCATAAGAGCTGGTTTTTCAATAGTCATCCGGTTCTTAATCTCCATGAGGATGGAGGATGGGTCCTTGTTGAACTCGTACTTTGAGACGTACGGTTTCAACTCTCTTACTTTCTTCTGGGACGGCTGACCAGAACGGTCGGCTGCCCAGATTTCCTTTCTCTTCTTGCCCTCTTCTTTGGCAGCCGGCTGGGAAGGTCGGCTGACTCTCCTATCAGACCTCTTAGAGTCTGACAAATGCCTGATAGCACACAGCTCCGTCGCCTGTATGTAGGCTTCGACTTCCATCAGGGCTTCTTGAAGGGTGGCAACCCTCTTCCGTCGAGGTCGAACTTAATAACCGACCCGTCTTTCAGACCCTTGAAGAAGTTTGTATATGCAACCTCATTCGTCAGGCTGGTTATCTGAATCCTCATCAGATTAAACCGCCTGACGTAGGACCGAAGTCCTTCCTTGTCTCCCTGCTGTATGGCCCCTAGATCGAGGCTTGTCTTCTTGGCAGGGATGTTCATGGAGAAGTTGGACGTAAAGAGATATGCCAACGTTTTAAAGTTGTTTATGCACCCGGCTGGGAGGTTGCCAAACCACCTCTGGGCTATGCCCTTAAGGGTAGCCCGGGAAGCATTTGCACCAGACGGCGTCGTCCAACCCCTACAGGTACATGAGGTTGGTGTAAGCCATGAGGTGATCTTCCGGGTTGGTGGTGCCGTCAAAGGTACCGACTAACACGTTCTTAACCTTGGCCGGCTGGGCCGCCTCGGTTATTTTCCTGGAGAACATCGACGGCTGTTCACCAAGGTTGAGCAGCCGGAGCTGCCAGTCGGCAGGCTGGACAGGTGCCACCTGACCTCAAAATAGAGCTGGCTGCATGTATGGGGATCTATCCATAGGGCAGGTATGGCTGTTGAGGCGCATACGGTGCCGGCTGGATAATTTGAGGGCCAGTCCGTGCAGACATGCCGCGTGACTGACACCCTTGGTTTGTTTCCGAATGCTTCATTGAAGTATTGCGGAAACTGTTTGGGAAGGTCGACGTGGAAGCCGACTCAGACATCTGCTGACTTCTCTTCTCCTATATTAAAATCCGGGCATCGGAGTAAGTCTTTTTCGACCCATCCGGCTGTACTTGCCGGATGGCTTTCCGTTGCCCTAATTCAGGGAAACGGAGCCTTGAGAGATCGATTAGGGGCCCATCCGTTCCCTTTGGCTTTGGGTGCGGAGTGGGCACCCGGTCTTTCACTTGCTTCTTCCTGGAGGGAGAAGCCTTCTTTGCCTCCTGCCCCCTTATTGAGGGGGAAGGCTTCTTGGCCAACTGACCCCTGTTGGAGCCAGTGGACTTCTTGATGATGTCCTTGATTTCCCCCTTGAAAATAGTCATGATTTTCATGAGTTCGTCTCTTGTGACGGGGGCTGAGCCCTCCGCCGCATGGGGTACTAGCCGGCTGTCCGGCTGGGGGTTCAGGGACTGCATCTTCACCTTGTTCCCTTATTTCTTTGGAACGGGTGCGCCGTCATCTAAATGACCCGTCTGGGGCCATATAGGTGTCGATGTCATTATCGTCACCACTGCCAGGGTCCGTGTGGACCTTAGCCTCGACCATAGGCCGTATGCCTTCGGCAGGAGGTACATAGTCAGAGGTCGTCTTGGAAGTACTCTCCCCACAGACGGCGCTAAATGTTTCGGGGTCTTTCATGTGTCCTGCGGGAGAGTTACAATTCTGAGACTGAGCTTGCTAACCGGCTGTACCTGCAAAAAAACGAAACTCCGGTTGGGTGGAGTTCCGCCTCCAACGATCAAGTTAGAACGTGTGTAAGGAGTCTGTACGGAATTAAAATGTGTTTTTCTCTCTGATTCAGAGAGAGAGAGAGAGTATCTGCAATTAATGCTCTGGTTTGTGTGTTTGGAAATTTGTGAATACGCAATAAATGAGGATTTTTCCTCTATTTATAGGGCAAGGGGATCAGTTCCCCTGACCAATGATAACCTGCCACGTGTCAGCCTCTGATTACGCCATGTGGCTAGGGTAAAAATTACCCTACACACCGTCTTTGGCGTAGGCCATCCTTTCACTGCCTCAATCTTTGTTGGATCTACTTCTACCCCATCCTTGAACATAAAGTGACCAAGAAATGCTACTTTCTCCAACCAAAACTCACACTTGGAAAACTTCGCACAAAGCTTGTTCTCCCTTAATGTTTGTAGAACTTTTCTCAAATGCTCCACATGTTCCTCCTTATTCTTTGAGTACACCATAATATCATCTATGAACACCACAACAAACTTGTCCATAAATGGATGGAACACCCTATTCATCAAGTCCATGAATATTGTTGGAGCATTCGTTAGTCCAAATGGCATTACTGTGAACTCATAATGCCCATACCTTTGTTCTAAATGTCGTTTTGGGAATATCCTTGTCTACGATCCTCAACTGATGGTATCCAGACCTTAAATCAATCTTAGAAAACACAGATGCGCCCCTCAACTGGTCAAATAGGTCATCAATTCTTGGTAATGGGTACTTATTCCTTATTCAACTCCCAATAATCAATACATAACCTCATAATTCCTGTGTCCCAGCTTGTTGCATGCGCGACAAGTAACCAGATTTCTATCACAGTCCTTACCAGGGTGGTTGTTCCTACACCTCTTGTAGTAGAAATGCCTTGGTCCTTTGTTATTTCCTTGGTTAGAGTTCCTAGATCCACCATTATGTTTCGCCCACCTTGGCGATTGTTACCTTGGAATTGTTAGTGTGGAATTTGTTGTTATGGTGGTACTTCTATTTCTTAAAATTGTTCTGGTTACCTTGCAGGTTTCCAGAGTTTTGCCCCACCTCTTTTCTCTTTTCCTTCCCTTCTACCTCAGCTAACTCTTTCTTTTTCTTCAACTCCAACGCATAAAGGTGTGAAGCTCTCCTGTACACTTCATCCAAGGTTTCGAACACTTGTCCACACAGCTTTAGTTGCAAATCAGTAGTCAATCCACTCTCAAACTTCCTAGCCTTTGACTTTTCTACAGCAACAAACTCTTTGGCAAATCGTGACAGCTCAATGAACTTGGTGTAATACTCAGTCACTGACATTTCTCCCATTGCCAAGTTAGCAAATTCCTCAGCCTTTTGTTTGTGTAAGAAGCTAAGATAAAACTTGTCCCTAACCTTCTCTTGAAACATAGTCCAGTTAAACCTAGGTAGCGCCTTAATTGTAGCCTCATTTTGTTGCCACCAAATGTCAGCTTCACCCCTGCGGTAATAGGTAGCACAACCTACTTTCGAATTCTCTGGGCACCCAACTGCCCCAAACAGTTTCTCAAATTCCCTTAACCAGTTTTCCAGCACTGTTGGATCAAGCTCTACTTGATAGGTTGGTGGCCTGCTTTGTGCCACGTGCTTGAATAGCCCTCCCTGAGCATCTCCATTGTTGGTCGAGTTTCTTGCTAACTGTTGGGCAACTATTGCCAACTACCTCACAACCTCACTCAGTTCTCCTCCATCATTGTTGTTACCACTTCCTCCTGCCATCTTTCTACGCCTGAATTAAAATAAGGGGTCTTTATTAATTATGGTTATGGTTAGCTCTCAAGTTAGACACCCATCTAACCAACTTATGCCTTTTATACTTACACATTTAATTTTAAACTAATAAATCGAGATTGCAAAATTATAATTCCCAAAATTTGCAGCTTGATCAACCAAATATTGATTGCTAACCAACCATACATTTAATAAAGCATCACAATAATAAATAAAAACAATTCCCATGAATTCCCAGAGTTTAGAAATGAATTATTCTAATAATTTTTAGTAAGAAATGGCTTATTGGAGTAGTAGTACGAAATGAATTATTTGAGACGAAATGAATGATTTGGCAATAAAATGAATTATTTGACAATAAAATAGATAGAATTTTATTGTTGATTAAGAAAATGAATGAAAAACTGAAATGAAATGAGTTCGAATAACCTACGCAGCTCAATAGGTTTATTGACTCTTGTGACATACCACTTATTACTATACTGACAAAGGAATTACTTAAAACTTTGGAAATGAAGCTAAGAATCCTAAGAGAGAGATGAAACTACAAAACTCTAGTCATTTCGAACATTGTCCTTCATGTCCTTCGATTGTTTGTAGCTTCCAAGATCGAATTCAAGGTCATCTTCTTCCTTCATTGGTTCAAGTGTCTCTGGATTTTGTTCTACCTGAATAAACTCTTCATCTTCCTCATCGTCAGATGAAATATCGATTATAATTGGAGTTGGGGGTGGATTTGGATTTGGAATTTCCATAATGGAACTATCAACAGTATGGTTACTCTCATCCATTATCTCTTCTTCCTCTTGCCCTCTATTTGTTCCTGCTTGATTACCCTATGGTGGAGAAGAATTTCCTGATTGATTTCTAGTGGAAGGGGAATTATTCCCTGTTGGATTGTCATAGTAGTAATTGGGATATGGAATGTGTAAGCGCTCGCAATGATACTTCTAAACTCTAACGAGGTAAGAAATCAAGTATCTGTAGTCAGATTAGGGTATCACTGTCCATAAAAAATTTTGTATTTGGAGTAATTTGGGATGTCCCCAGGTAAGTAAAAATCAGAAAACTTTGCCTTGACAGCAAGATATGGGGGTTCATCTGGAAGACAATGAATAATCATAGCTGAAACTCGATCAAGAAGGTCATAATGCTTGTCTCCTAGGACATCGCTCAAATGGGAAAAATAATAGAAACGGATTTTCTTGACATAGTTAAAAGGATGTTCATATTCTTTCTTAATTAAAGTACCAATTTGGGAGTTTTTGCTAGGAAAGATCGACATCCTGTAAAGGAAAAGACTTAGAAAAGAATTCCCTTCCCAAAGAAAATAAAATAATACAGTTCTTGCATGAATTAGGTTCAATGTTCAATAAAAAAATCTCACTTATTTCTAATCACATAATTACATGCTTCCAATCAATGAATTCACATGACCAAACATCACAACCTGAATATTAATGCATAAAAGAACATGATTATTTCTAACTTATATGCCCAAGTTCTTTCCTACCCATGCTCACCAACATGCTTTTTAAGGCTTTTAACACATAATTATTACCTTAATCCTCGCTTTCCTGCAAAATAAACAAACTAAAAATATTATTGTAACTCCTCCTCTAAATTAAATCTCAAAAGTAATTTCCGAAAAAATCCAAAATAATCGGCCTCTATTTTTCGGACACCCTATTTGAAAAAAAAAAAAATTCAGATGTCCTTAATTAAAAAAAAAAAATCGGATTTCTCCAAAATAATAAAATAAAATAAATTTAAAATAAAATAGCTCACTTTTTAAAATTACTTCATTAAATTAACACTTGGCCAAGTTTAAAACAAAATACTTTAAAACATGTTTTTGGCTTTAGTGGTAATAAAAATCTCAACCAAAGCTCCAAGATACCACATTGTAACACCCTAGAAATTTCTTTCCTTTAAAATACCAGTTTTGCTCTTTTAAAATACGAAATAAGAAATTCTAAGACATTACTGCCACCGTCAAAGCAAGTAAGGCAATTATCAAAGACACACAGCGGAAGACTCTCTTAAAAACCATTCAAAACAAGTCAACTTAAAAAGTAAAATCAAATGCAAGTAAAGTCAAACAAATCAAACAAAGTCAACCTACAACTTGGAACCATTGTAGGCCCTTAATAAACCGAGATAAAACATTTGAAAACCTTTGCGTTAGTCTCACAAGCAAAATATGTAATAATTAAAGCAACAAAACCACATCATATTCTTATGAAAACTAAACATGATTCGCTCTTCACTTATGCCCATCATGAATATGCTTCATCACCTGAAAAGCTCCTCTTTACTTTCTCCCCACTACTCGCCATTAGAAATGGGTCGTCGAAGGGCCAAGATGAAGACAAGGCCAAACAAAAATACAACACACAATCAACAATGCTGAGTACATAAGCGTAAGCAGTACACACTAACATGCTTTAATCTTATCAACACACAACTTACCTTGCTGCACCTGTTTTCAAGCACACAACACAACCAACAAATAAATAGACCACTAAATTGCTTATTTAATTTTGATTACGCATCGAACGGGTTTGCCAACAAATCCCTGCCCCAAATAAATTGAGGTAAACTATATCGAGAGCTAACTGGATCGGAAAATGCCACATGAAGTGACAGGACGTCATGCGCATAAAATAAATAAAAAGGAAAATACAGCGTCCTGTACTCCCAGTAGAAGTCATGGTTAAATATAAAACTCCATAACTCCCCCCATATGTTCATACTCGAGGTATATACGTTCCAAGAGTTTTGGTGCGTAATCTCTTTCACTTTACATTGTTTACACATTTTTATACTTGGTGACGACTCTTAAACCATAACACAATCAATCATAATAAATCATTCAAGCAATCAAACATACCAATTTAATTATTGAATAATTAGTGATCACATAATTTAATACTGAATCCTTTTTTAAACTACCTCGGTGTTAAATAACATCTTAAGTGCATAAAGTACCGCAAATCCTATCCCTGAGTGTTTAGAACACCTTAAGTGCACGTAGGCACCGCAATGTAATTTATCCCTGCGTACTAAGACACTTAATAGCTTAATTCCCATGCTTAAAGCATTAATAAAAATTATATGAACCACAATAAAATTCCCTTTTTATATTCCAAACAAAATTAAACATTTAGTTTAATTAAACATGCTCTCAATTATGCCAATAATAAAAGTGTAGTTCATATTCAACATGCCAATATAATTAATTCCAATCATTAATCCATCCTAAATAATTCATACATCATAAATCAATCACCAACATCAATCCAATCAACAATTCCAACCAACACCCATCATGATACTACCTTGGAATTAATTAAACAAAGCCTTGCATGCTTCTATAATTTCCGAGTACGCGAACGTACCTTGAATATGATCTTAAAATCTCCACGACTACACAAAATCACTCACTTTGAAATCTCCTACAACCCAAAATTACAAAGAGACATTAATATCCATTCAATATAAATTTTCAACAATATATATACTCTTTAAATCATTCATAAACCCTCTAAACCAAGCTGAAAATTAATTTAAAACCCTTACTTTTATTCCCAATTAATAGGTAATTAAAAATTTCTTCAAGAAACATAATTATAATCTTTATATAAAAATTCCATCTTAATAAAAACTTGTAAAATCGCTAGAATTATGTTCAAAACATCTAATTTAATAGTTTCTATCACCTACAATCAATTTCCATCAACATACAATAATTTATAAATCTACGGTTTTCAATTTGGGGCTTTTTAACTCAAAAACTAATCTGAAAATTTTCACGCAATCCAAAAACAATAATTAAATCAAGGCTAGATTAGGATTAAAAGAAAAATAAGATTTTTTTTTTGAAACACACGCGCACACAAGGGGGAAAAAGGGAGAGTGGCCGGTGCCACCTCCTCGCGGCTGCTGCTGCTGCCGGCCCTGTGCTGGCGGCGACGGCCGACTGTGGTGTTGATGGCAGCCGGCCACCGTGATGGTGGTGGTGTGTGTGGTGATGTGTGTAAAATTAAAAAGGGGAGGGGGGAAATTAAAGGAGAGAGAAAATAAGAGGAGAGAGAGAGAGAGTTTATCTTTGGGTATTCTCCACCTTGTGCAAGAACTAAATTGCTCATAAGATGGGTATTTATACCCTCTCTCTAAAACCCTCCTAAGCTTAAATTCCCTTTCTACCTTGAATGATTCCTTCTCCTATTCAAACTAGTCCTTTGACTTTCTTTAAATACCATTGACTTTAAATTTCCTTTTATAAAATAATATGCCCCAAAGTTTCTAAATAATAAAATAAAATATTTTCATAACAATTAAATAAATAAAAATGGACCTTTAATCAAAATAATTCTTTTTAAATTAATAAAATACCATAAATAATTCATTTCAAATAATTTAAGTACTTCATAAAATAATGATTTAAATTAAAATACATATAAAAATACGGGGTATTACAATTTAAATGAGTTTTGGCTTTTTCATTATAATTATTGCTGCAATGAATTCATGTTCTCTGCCTTATATAGATAGGTGGGACCTGGTTTTGTTTAATCGGTTATGGTTACTGTTATGCCTAAATTTTCATCATAGGTGCACTTGTTCGCAGGTTGTTAGGTTGCAGGTTGCAGGTTACAGGTTATCATCTGATCAGCTATCAGGTTCCGAGTACTTAAGCGGAGTCAAACGAAGACTTTTTCAAGGAATATTCCAAGGTTATCTTAAATTGAGCAAGTCAAGAGAAGGTTCCAAGAATATCAGAACCATGAACTTCCTTGCCGTTAATGAAGACCAATTCAAACTGCAATGGATAAGCACTCAAGGAGAATGGCAACGAAGTAGGAACTACCTCAGCCCACTAGCTCCAGATTCCATGGAATCCGGAATGGAGCTGTTGAGGCCTTTCAAGTTATTTCTTATGCTATAAATAGAGAAGTAATGATTGTGCAAAGGCATGACAAATA